ATTGCCCAAAAATGTGAGTACAGGAGACCTGAGTTTAACTGGCTGGTGCCATTCCCTGAGGCCAAAACACAATGAAAGATAATGAACTAAATGTTGAACATCGCTTAAAATGCCTCTGGGATATCTATGCAGAGATTCAATTATGTTGCTAACACTCAAATCTAGAGATTGGATTGGATCATGAGCCCACAGTTTTTTGTTAAGTTCTGAAAGTTTACAGTGTTATGCGGGGCAATGGATTATAAGCCTGGCCAAAGAAGAACCCTTCAAGGCAGAGACTGCTGCTTGTCTCTCTCTTTCTACCTGAGTAACAAAACCCAGCACTGCCTGTAACAAAAATGGTATTTTCCAAGCCCCGTTGCAATCATCTTAATTAAGTACTAGAAATAGGATGCAATTTGAAGTCTTAAATTGCATTAAGGAGGGAGGACTCTCTTTAACTCTACTGTTAGGGGAACGGTCTGCCTCCTGGCTTCCCATTAAATCCTCTAAGTAAAAGCCTTAATGAGGGGACTTGGAAGTGGGTTACCTCTTCTCGCTCAACTCCTGTTGCTTACTGGAGACTTTCCCATTTGGGGAACACAGTAACTTTCTCTGTTTCCCACACATACATGGGCACCATATGGGACCTTGCAGGTCCCACTTCCAAGTCTGTTCCAGGTGGGGAAGGAACGGGATCTCTTGATTGCAGCACAACAGGAGAGAATGTGGAACTGCCCTATACCAGCCCCACGAGGGTGGGGATTCTTACTGGACATGGGAGACCTGTGTCCATCAGTGAAGTCCACCAGTCACTCTGTCTTCCTGTGTGAGTAAAGTGTTCACCCACACACTAACACAGCTTGTGTGGCCTGCCATTTGTCAGTGGCCTCAAACAGTGGTACAACATCTGCTCGTTACAATGTGGAGGTGACAGCTGGAGTTTCAGAAGTCATCCTGGAACTCAAGGATTGGCAGTGTTGGGGGAGGGCAGGAGCAGGGGCAGCACACAGGAATGTTGGAACAGAAAGGTTGCCACCTGTGATGCATCCTTAATGACACTGTTATGCAACCATACCAACTGCAGATTGCTGACGGGAAGATTCCTTTTACTGAGAAATGATTTATCTTGTTCAAGCAACTATTTTCTGGGTCTTTTAGCCTATTGCCTTTTCTAAGGCTATAGTTGAAGGAGACAAATGATAATGGTAGAGATCTTTTATTGAATAATTATTACAACTAAGCCAGGCTTGGGTTATCTTCATTTTTTTTTTTTATCTTCACAATGGCCCCCGATAGGCTACCGTATAAATAGGCATTATTATCATCCCCATTTCTGATATTTGAAAAGTGAGGGCCAGAAAGCTTACATAGCATTTTACAATTAATCAGCTACAGAGTTATTATTATTTTTACAATTAAGACTAAAGAGATTAAGTCCTTTATATGCAACTTCAGCTACCAAGAAAACTCCCTATATATCCCAAACCCTGCATAGGAGAATTTTATAAAAGAACTCCTTCATTTTTAAAAAGACAAAACATTCTCCTAATCTTTTACCTTCAGGCAAATCGATGGAGACATTATTGTGTGAAGAATTCTGATAATCTTTCTTTTGACCACTGAATCCAATTTGAGAATAATATTCCTTTAGGATAAGGTGACCAGACATCCCGCTTTTGGCGGGAAAGTCATGATTTTTAACAATTTTTCCCGCATCCCGCAGCATTTTTGAAAAGTCCCAATTTTTGGAAAGAATGCACGACAAGCTAGGGTATATGGTTTTCGGCTGCCATGTGGCTATTTCGCCAGGATGTGAGTTTTATCAATGGTGTCCCGCTTTACCAATGTTAAAATCTGGTCACCTTACTTTAGGACAATCAAATAAACTAAGGGAAAACTTGACTACACACGATTCTCTACTCTTTAGCTGCATGTAGTGTGAAAAATAAAAAGCCTACCTCCACAGAGAATCTCACAAGGACTGAGGGGACTCAATCAACAGAAGACAGGTACGTCAGTGTGTGTGAAGAAGCATGAAGAAGCTAGTTCATGGGCCCAAGTAAGCTATGGAAATCAAAGGAAAAGAGAAAAAGAGAAATCGTTGTTTTCACTTTATAATGCTCCAAGGTAACAGACAGAAAAGAACATCAGACGAGTCCAGAGCTTTAAAGCTAAACAGAGACAGGAAAAAACATGAATACTACCTGGAGATCTCCATCAACTCAATGAATTATTACTCCCAAATAATTGAGATTAATAAAGCAAAACTGTTCACAAAGACAAAATTAGTGAAAATCTAAATTTTTATTAGAATGTATAATTAAAAGAACATCTACAGTTAAGTAATTATTTCACACACACAAGTAAAATTTCACAATATGTCTTTCAAAGTCTACTCAAGTTTCAGAATTTACAAATATACTCACTAATACATTCATAGCTGGGAGCCCTGGTAGCACAGTGGGTTGCACATTGGGCTGCCAACCTCAAAGTCAGCAGTTTAAAACCACCAGCAGATCTGAGGGAGAAAAATGAGGCTTTCTACTCCATGAAGAAACCCAGAGGGGCAGTTCTGCCTGTCTCGAAGGTCTTGATGAGTCGCGATCCACTCCACGGCAGTGAGAAGGCTATCATTCCTGAGTTCAGGATGCCAAGGTGAGCACTTGTCCTTTAATTGTCTCCTTGTACTTATATCTGTCTGTACCTCCACCCAAGTCCATTGAGATCAGAGCAGAGCCCTGCCCAGGGGGGCTGGCTAGGCCCAGCTAAGTCAAGCCTGTATTTGTAAAGTAGATGGCCAATGGAAATAGTACAGGTTATTCGCCACGTGGACACTAGGGAACCGACTCTGGCTTTGCATAAGAATCACCCAGAGGGCTTGTTTATAAAACAACCTCCCACAGAGTTTTGGAATGAGAATCCCTGAGGTTTACAAATCTGTAACTACAAGATCTGTAAATGTTTCTGAGGCACAAGCAGGCTTTAGAAAATCAGACTAGTGTAGTGGTTTGTTTGTTTTTTAATACTTTTGTTGGGGCTCTTACAGCTTTTATCACAATCCATACATCATCCATTGTGCCAAGCACATTTGTACATATGTTGCCATCATCATTTTCAAAGCATTGTCTTTCTATTTGAGCCCTTGATATCAGCTCTTCATTTTTTTCCCTCCCTCCCCCACCCTCCCTACTTCAGGAAACCTTGATAAATTATCGGCCTCTGTCTTCCTTCACCCACTTTTCTATTATTTGTGCCCCTGGGAGGTGGTTATAGGTTGATCCTTATGATCAATTCCCCCTTTCTCCCCCCACCTTCCCCTTATCCTCTTGGTATCCCTATTCTCATTATTGATCCTGAGAGGTTTATCTGTCCTGGATTCCCTGTGTTTCTAGCTCTTATCTGTAGCAGTGCATATGTTCTGGTCTAGTTAGATGTGTAAGGTAGAATTGAGGTCATGATAGTGGGGCGGGGAGCAGGGGGGAGCGAAGCACTAAAGAACTAGAGGAAAGTTGTATGTCTCATTGGTGCTACACTGCACCCTGACTGGCTCATCTCTTCCTTGTGAGCCTTCTGTAAGAGGATGTCCAATTGTCTACAGAGGGGCTTTGGGTCTCCACTCCACCCCCCATACCTCCCCCAATTCGCATTGGTATGATACCTGATCCCACCGGCACCTCATGATCACATAGGCTGGTGTGTTTCCTTCAGGTTGCTAGAAGACCACTTGTTTATCTTCAAGCCTTTAAGGTCCCCAGATGCTATATCTTTTGATAGTGATAACGGGGCACCATCAGCTTTCTTCACCACATTTGCTTATGCGTCCATTTTGTCTTTAGCGATCATGTAGGGAAGGGGAGCATCACAGAATGCCAGGTTATTAGAACAAAGTGTTCCTGTGTTGAGGGAGTACTTGAGTTGAGGCCTAATATCCATCTGCTACCAGTGAAGTGGTTTTAGAACTAGTTTAAAAGAGCAGATAGCCTCATCTGTTCTGCAGAGGGGTTGGTAGGTTTGAACCACCAACCCTGTGGTGAGCAGTGTTAACCCACGGGATCACCAGGCTTCCTTTCTTGCAATAAAACTCCAAAGAATTTACTGCCATCAAGTCAATTCTGACTTAAAATGGCCCTATAGGGCAGAGTAGAACTGCTGTGTGGGTTTCTGAGACTCTCAGTCTTTACGGGAGTAGAAAGCCTCATCTTTCTCCTGCAAAGCAGCTGTAGTTTCAAACTATTGACTTTGCAGCTAGCAGTCCAACAGATAACCACTACACCATGGAGACTCTTTACAATACAGTGTGGCTAAATAAGAGCTGCATGCACTTGCTACAACTCACAAATTCAATTTAAAGATACAAATAGAACAGATCTCATTTATAACCAGGGCAACCTGTACTTATTGCAACTTAAAAGAACTTACTCAATACATGAGTAAATTGCATAATAGAGTTCCAAATGGACAACACCCACCCAAACATGTTGTATCAAACTGCATAAACTCCTGTCATCTAGAGAAAAAAAAACAACTTTATCCAGATTTACAAGTAAACACGAACATAACAAAACTAACCTAATTCCAAAGTTTTGCAACTTTCCCTGCTGCACTCCAACTTCTGCCACCCCGACTTCTGACAGACAGAGGGCAGGGAAGGTAGGAGTAGATCTGGGAAGGCATTCTTGAAAAAATATCGCCCAGGATCAGATTGAATGCCTAGCTACTGCTTCCCTATGAGTAAGGATAGTATACGTCAAACACCTTCTGGAAGCCTCACCAACTGACTCTAAGCCAGCCATCTGTGCCTGTGCTAAGAGAAAGGCAGGGGAGGACACTACTTCCTCCTCCCATTTGGTCCTTGGCTGATCCCCCAGAGGATTTGGTCTGTATGGCCTGACCTTTTGAAATTCTCCATTCCACCTCCCAACAAAACAATCCAGCTGACCCCAGACACGCAAGCCTGTAGCAGATACAATCTCTCGTGGCTGTTTCACCACATCAGCCGGCATCATGGTTTCACTCACCTGTGTGAACGCACATACTGAGCAGGAGATGGACGGAGTAAGAAGCCAGGAGAGCAACCATCAGCAGCAAGCAACTACAATAGCAAAGGATACAAGTCAGGACCCCACTCTTCAAACATTCCACCTTTTGTTTGTACCTCACTACAGCGGCAGATGGCCTCACAGTCAAACTTTTGGTCACCATCGCGCGGATTCCCACTCGTGGAAAACCCACAGCACATTCCTGAGCTGAGTGCTGCTAGAGGGCAGGCTAGCCAGTCAGAACCACCAGCCCCTGTGGGCGAAGGATGAAGCCGGCTGCTTCTGTAGAGACTAGAGAAAGACTGGGAAGCCCCATGGGGCTTGTCTACTCTCATCTACGGGGTCGCTGAGTCGGATGCAACTCGAGGGCACACAAAAGTATTTTCAGTGGCTGCTTTTTGGGAAGTGGACTACCCATCTTTTCCTCCAAGGCGCTGCAAGCTGACTGAAACTCCAACTTTTTGGTTAGCAGCTGCGCACGGTGATTTCTTGCCTCACCCAGGAAGGCCATGATCTTCAAAGAGAACCCCAAAATATGCTGATTCTGTCTTGCCTTAAAACTCACTCACAGCCATCGAGTCAACGCAGTGAGTTTCTGAGACGGTAGCTATTAACAGGAGTAGAGAGGCCCGCCTCTCTCCCACGGAGCGGCTGGTGGTTTGGACTCCTGACTTTGTGGAGAGCAGCCCAGGGCATAAAACCTATGCCACCAAGGCTCAGGTGCTATTTTTATTTTTGAAGTTTTAAAATCAGGAAAATGTGGGTTATTTTGAAGCAGCACAATAACATCTGTGATCCTAGGATTGTAAATTATATAATCCAAACCCAATGAGGGAACAGTATCAGAGCTTAAATTGTGAGATTCAGATTTGCCGGTGGTTATGCATGACAATAGGAGCCCCAAATATATTTGCAGGAACTACACAGGGAATAAACCTCCAGTGATTGCCCTTAGACCATAATTGAGGAATGGTAATAACTTGAATATCAGATAAAACAGTATTATAGAGACTATAATAGATTCAAATGATAAATCTGACTTTAATGGTTAAAACTTTATCATTAAGTCTCACTTTTGATACACTTTGTGCTTAATTTGGTTTTTTAATATTCTCTGGATTTGCTTTGTTTTCATATTTGGTTTATCTCTGTTGTATTTTTTCATTGTCAGTAGACTTCTTGACTTGTATGTATTTTTCTATGTTTTTTGGTATATGAAACCCAAAACGGATGAATCTACAGAGACCAAACTAGAATAAGGGTAGTCCTAGAGGGCACGGCAGTGGCGGGGTGTGTGTGTGTGTGTGTGTGTCATGGGGAGCTGATATCAAGGAGTACAAGAAGGAAAAGAATGTATTGAAACTGATCGTGGTAGCAATAATACAACACTGCTTGATATGATGGAACTATTGAATAGTTTGATGTCTAGATTAGGTCCTATGGTAGTTACATCATTTCATGTCACCTTGAAGATGTAGAAAAGTGTAGGGGTGGTATCCAACCTGTCAATCAGGTCACAGCCTGATGGTACCTCCTTGTGGGCATGGCCTTCTCATAAGGAGGATATTGGAAACCATCTCGCTCTCTCTCTCTCTACCTTCTCCTGCTGGTTGACCCTGATGGTGGCCAGAGCCCTGGAGATGCATCCACCACCATTGTCCCCACACCCACTAGCCTATGCTCTTCCTGCAGTCTGCATCATTGCATGTGGCTGCGTGAATCTGAAGAAGGACTTATGGACTAGTATCGGACTGGGCTGGAATATTTTCCTGATATATAATTACTTCTTGACATAAAGCTCTTTCTTACACATATATGTCACTGGATTTGTTTCTGTAGTCAACCCAGTCTAACACAGGTCCTAATAAAATAGTTTGAGTATATATGTAAATTGGTGAATATAAATAGTAAAATAAAAAAGAAATTCATCATAAAGTGAAATAGTCCTAAATGAGACAGATTTCAATTAAGTAAAGCTTTTCATCGTGATCTGAGTGAGGGTATATAGAGTAAGCTGGTTTTCTATTCAAGAATTCATAAATGTTTTGCTTCATGCTATTGCTTGTAATGCCAACAATGGATTGGCATGTTTCCCACTTTGTCCCTATTCTCGATTTGCATTTGTCCTTCTTCTATACCTTCTGAGGCTCGTCTCAGAGCAAATGCTATCCTTCTGATTGCTGATGGCGGATTGTTCGACGCAGTGTGTCCCTCCCTCATGTTACTGTATACCTTATAGGCCTAGCTCCTGTCTCACTGAAAGTTGAACATTGAGGTGACCAAGGGTTTCTCCTGACTCCATTGGACCAGGAAGCCTGGTCTTTTTGGGTTTTTTAAATCATTTTGGGTTTTTCCTACATTTTTCTCTTTTTCTATCTAGGACCCTCTATTGTGATCCCATTTAAACTGGTCAGCAGTGGTAGCAGAGCACCCTCGAGTTCTTCACACTTTAGACTCATTGTGTCCATGGGTCTTTCCTTTTTTTTTTCATTCTTCTTTGCTCTGAAAACCAACAGTAGCATTTTAGATGACCACTGGAAACCCCTCACCACTATCGACAAAAGCAGAATGTAGAACATTGTCTTTTGAACTGTTATGTAAAATGACCTTGATATCCCAAGACTATAGTACCAAGGCTCTAGGCCCAGTGACTCTTTCCCTTAGTGCTAAGAAGTTTTTATACCTTTGCTCCTTATTTGCTGTGGTGGCGTCATGGGTTACCCATTGGACTAACTCCAAGGTTAGTAGTTCGAATCCACTAGCTGCTCCTTTGGGGAACAGAGTGGTTTTCAACTACCATAAATAATTAGTCTTAGAAACCCACAAGGGTAGTTCTAACCTGTCCCATAGGATCAGGTTTGAATCTGTACCAACTAGATGGCAGTAGGTTTGGTTTACTTTAAAAATGGAAATTTATACCATGTGCAAATATACGTAGAAATATCACCTCCCAGATCAATCTATGGTTGGGAATAAAGTCCCTTTCACCTACTCGTCCTGCCTGTCTATCACTTAGATTACTGTCTTATGTCCAATAATGCAATTTACAACTCTCTTGCACACCTCCGAGTCCTCCTCTTCTTTAGCGCTATTGTGTTAGTCAGCCCATTGTTTATATTGTCTTTCCCCTCTCCCAAATTAACATGTCAGTTATTAGGAATACTGGTGGTACTACTGGCTAGCTACTGGGATAGTAACCCCAAGTTTGGTGGTTCAAGCCCACCAGCTACATAGGAAAGGGGAACATGCTTGAAGGGAGTCGTTTTTGATTCTTCCATAAAGCTCTGCAGTCTTGGAAATTCTTTATAGGGTTACAACGAGTCCAAATGAACTAGAAGGTTTGATCTTGGTTTATCATCTAGTTAGTGACTTCCTCTCGCATCCATCAAAAAAATGTTTTCTTCTTCTTGGTATAACCCTCTCCTTGACTTTTTATAGTAGTGGACTCATACAACAATTTTCCTAATGTGACTGACCTACTTTCACTCAGCACAGTGTCTTCTAGGTTCATCCACATGACGTGTTCCTTGGCTTCTTCACTATTACCGTGATTAAAGTTGCATAATATGCCATTATATGTATGTACAATCATCTACCTATCCAGTCATCTACTGATGGGCACTTAGGCGTCTTTCAGCTCTTTGCTTTTGGGGGTGATGCTGCAATGAACACAGGTGTGCAGACATCTGTCTGGGTCCCAGCTCTTCTTTCTTTAGGATAGTAAAGAACACACCATTTTCCACAGTGGTTCAGTATAATGGTCCGGACAGCAGTGCATGAGAGCTGGATGTCTCCGCGCTTGCCAACATTTGTTTTCTGTCTTGTTGATCCTTGCTAGGATTGCTGTAGTGAGATGGTATCTCAGCGATGCGTTGATTTGCATCTCTCTAGGGACTAATGATCGTGAGCATGTCTTCATGTGTTTGTTGGCTGCCCAAATCTTTGGGAAAGTGTCTACTTAGGTCCTCTGTCCATTTTAAAATTAAGATTCTTTGCCTTTTTGTTGGTGACAAGCTGAAGTTTTCTATACATTTTTACATTAGTCCCTTTTCAGATAGGCCATTGTTAAATATTTTTCCTCCAATCTTTTCGAGAGTCATTTGATGATCACGAGTAGTTAACTTTTAGAAAGTCCTAACCATGTAATTAATATACACTCAACTGTTTCTATATTTCTGTGTGGATTTTAAATTTCCTGATAGGCTTCTACAAACAAAACAAATTTGGTATTTATTCATTCATTCTCTTGACATACTGCTTGCCAGGTGCTACAGACCAGGTCCTGTCTTACAGGTTCTTAGAGCTTTCAAAACAAATTATGAAAACATTATGACAACAGAGTGACTACACAACATGCTAAAAGACAAAGCAAAGAAGCCCTGTGGCACACTGGGTTATGTGTTGGGTTGGTAACTACAAGATCAGCAGTTTGAAACCACTGCCCCTCCCTGGGAGAAAGATAAAGCTATCTACCCCGATAAAGATGTACAGTCTCAGAGCCCACAGGAGCTATTCTACTCTGTCGTATAGAGTCACTATGAGTCGCAGTCAACTTGATGGCAGTGAGTTTGCTTTTGGGGGGTTTGGAATATACAAAGCACAAAAAAGCCAGGCATGTCATTTGTTGTGGACAAACTGGCATCATAACCAGGTCTTGGAAGATGAAAAGGAATAGTCAAGAGAATAGACGTCGGGCCCCTAAAAGGAAAGTAGGATTATTTACAAATAGGAGGAGATGAAGAGGAATGAAAGGATTTTATGCTTTATTTACCTTCAGAAAAGCCCTATTCATAAGTACCTGCCTGACTGACTTTAATTCATTTTAGCCAAGGTTATGAATTGAATTATGTCCTCCTCAAAAGACGTGTTAAAATCCTCATCGGTGTAACTGTGGGTACGAACATCTTTGAAAACTGGGTTTTCTGTTATGAAAGGTGTGTTCTAAACCAAATCACTTCTGAATGAGAAAAAGCAGATTAGGTACAAAGCAAGCACAAAGGGGCAGGGGTGGTAAGGAAGGGATGCAGATAGCATGCGGAGGGAAGAGAATCCACCCCCAGGGCAGGCTGAGCTTTCTCCTGTGGCCACACCAAAAGACCCACTGCCATCAAGTCAATTCCTACTCGCAGGACCCGAAGCCGTAATTCACACTTCTAGCCTGAATCTGAGAAAATACACCTCTGTTCTGTAAAGCCAGCCACTTGTGGTATTTGTTACAGTAGGCAATCTGACACAATGATTTAGCCACTTCTTAACAATTATGTAAGAGCCACAGATCAAGTTTCGACTTTTAAAAATCCGCCATCAGTAGTGTTCACTCCTCCAAGCTACCGGCTGGCCTCAATGGAAGGCAAGCAAGAAAACGCTACAATCCTAAAAATAAGTTAACTAGAAATTATAGACTACCATTTTACAGGGCCTGACTCACACTTTGCCTCTCCGTGTACTTCCGGGTGGGGGTGGGGGTGAGGGTGGGGAATAGTTCAAACAAAACAAAAACTCACCTAAATCCAAGGATACCAGTATTCGCCATAACAAAAGCTAAGCCAAGAATGCCACTTCCCATGATAGCATTCATCAAATTAAACACAGAGAAACCAAAGGAAACACCTCGAGATCCCTGGCCATGGCGTTCCTGGAAGCACACAAATGTAATCCTGTTAAAACGTTTGGATGGTGAATGTCTGGTCAGCTCATTGCAAAGTTCTCTTACAAACAGCCAGGCAATGTGACATAGGCGTTTCTCAATTAGCATGGATCCTTCTTTTTCCTTCCCACCTTTCACCTTCTTTTTCTGCAACTCCAGGCGTACTTGAGCATCCTAATAACGTCACCAGTACAGAGACCAGGTAGACCTCAAGGGAAACTCATGACCAACCTTGTGACTGCGGGAGATAGGACAGGAATGAGGGAAAAAAGTAGTGGACGAACAGGGCTGGAGAACGAAGTCAGCTTGGGGTTGCTGGAATAAACTGCTGCTCCCCAAATATTAGGATTGCACAACTAACCGCTAGTAGACTTAACTAAATTCGTCCAGCTGGATGGGCAGTTAGGAACATAAAAAAGAAACAGAAACATATTGCAAGGGGGAGGGGAACGCTGCCCACCGTCTTCCTCAAAAGAGCATTTGGGAGCAAAGTCCTAGAAACTGTCCAGGAACGCGAGGTTCTCTGCTGAGCGTCAACTGCACGTTTTAGAATCAGAGAAGTGGTGTGTACATATTAGGACCTCCACTCCTTCATCGATAAGTATCTCTGTAGTAAGATGTTTATAGCCCCTCGATGATTAAGGCGGAAAAGCAAGTCGTGTGACTCTTGCAAAGATCTGACAAGGCTGGTAGTGGAAAGAGGAAGCCGACAAAGAGGCTGAGGAACAGCACTGAGTCACTTGAAGCCGGGGCAGCTCCTCCAGTCGTCGCGTCCCCAGTCCTCAATGAGGGCTACATCCCTTTCATCTGGGTCTGCACCATTTTTTGTTTTTGTTTTTCAATCATTTTATTGGGGGCTCATATAACTCTAGCGTTTGTTTTTTGGCAGCGGTTCTCAACCTGTGGGTCGCGGCCCCTGGGGGGGGTGTCGAACGACCCTTTCCCAGGGGTCGCCCGATTCATAACAGTAGCAAAATGACAGTGACGACGTAGCAACGAAAGTAATTTTATGGTTGGGGGGGTCACTACCACATGAGGAACTGTATGAAAGGGTCGCGGCATCGGAAAGGTTGAGAACCACTGTTGGGCAGAATGGGTTTCACCCACTTTCAAGGGCTCCACTGGATCGCACCTGGAGCTCGGCGGCTGCCCTTGGGACCCTTGCCCTCCTCTGGCAACACAGAGGGTCTGGTTTTAGCCTCTCCCCACTCCCCTTCCATCCCCATTCTTCTGGGAAAACACTTGAGGGAAGCCACGGGCACCAAGGGGGAGCGACGCCCACTTACGTTGCTTAGCAACGGGCTGGACTCTTCTGCCTCCGCCTCTTCGGGCTCCTGGGCAGAGACGTACCAGCCCCGCTCGACGTTGATGCTCCCCCAGGGCGCCTCCATGCTCCTGGCCGCCGCCTGCCCGGTCCATCTGCGGGCCGGAGCCGACCCCTCCCGGCCTCGGCCGCGCCGGAGGCGGGGCTACCAGAGCCGTCCTTCCGGCATTCCGTGCCGCCCAGTCCCGGGGAAAGGGAGCGGCGCGGCGCGATTTGATGACGCCGCCCTCGGAGGCGCACGGCGATGACGTCACGGAGGCCCGGCCCGGCGACCCGTTTCCGACAGGCACCAAGGCATGAGGTGAGCGCGTTGGCTCCCGGAGCCGGCTGCGGGACGCCGGGGGGTTGGCACGGTGCCGTGGGTGAAGCTCACCGCCGGGTGCCCGGCCCCCCGAGCCTGGAGAGGTGGGTCGTCTGATGGCGGTCCCAGTCCGCTCTGGGCGGCTCTTTTGCTTTCACCCACTGGGCGCAGGAGCTTGGCGATGCCTGCCATCCACTTGCCCTGGTGCTGAGTTGATGTCCGAGTTCTGAGCAATTGGTTTTTCGATTTTCAAAAACTCTTTGGTAGACTCTTTGAACGTGGGGGGAACCGAGGCTAAGTGATTGGTGGACCATCTCACGGTTATCTGCTGGATGGAGCCCATGTGAACCCAGCCTGCAAAGTTTGACTTCGTCTTACACGGTTCCGGGACTGGGCTCGTTCTTTCTCCTGAGGAGTCCTTCTTTGGGGTTGGTTCTACAGTGCGAGGGGAAAACGTGAAGCTGTTGATGCGATGTGCACATACTTCGCAGCTAAGTTCCCATCTTCCAATGTGGAGTAATGGTCAGAGACAAACAGAATACATAGCTCCCTGCAGGGAAGCCAGTCAGTCCTGACTGAAGCCAGTCAGTCTTGGGCCTAATATCTGTTCAGCCCCCTCTCAGCAACTAGTTACTAGACTTTGAGTACGCTAACCTACTTTTAAGCTTAGCAAGCACCCTCTCAAAGGAGATAATGTATGTGACCAGTCCGCACAGCAGCGGACGCAGTAAGCACCCCTAAGAATATTATTATGAATATTGGCACTGGTAAAGTTACAGATGTAACGACTGACTCACTTAGAGATGAGCCTTTAATCCAAACGTTAGCTTTCCCGTTTCAAAATACTTCTGTAGGAAGTTTGGGTGCAGAGACTCAGTGAGTATAGGGAGGCAAACGAATCACTAGACCTTCTGCCCTGGCAGCAGGTGGGTTGAAGGCGCAGATTTTCATATCTACCACTAATAAAAGTCATCCTGACATGGAAAATATAATCCACAACACTGAAATTGTCGTTGTCCACATATAACAGCATTTAGATTTTTCTTCTCAAATGCTGTTAGGGACATGTAAGTTGGTAGCTTTGTGGCATTTTTAAAATGAATCTCTTTCATAGGATCATATGGAGGCCATTTGGATTCTCAAGAATACTTCTGAAAGTGGAGCACTGGATCAGTACTGAATCCAAACCACTGATCCCACCAACACAAAAGCTGAGAACACCTACTCTCCTCTTGGTGGGTCAAAGGAAACATTTCTCAACTATGCCAGAGGTAGAAACATACCAGAGAGACCCTGAATTGTTTTCCCCACCCTCTAGTGTTCGAGGAATGACAGAACTGGATAGAACAGCATTCACAAAGACGGTCATCATTCCAGTACTTAAAGTGAGAAAAGAAATAGTCAATCAATTGATGCGCTCTCTTAAAAGGGCAGCCTTGCAGCGCCCGGGCATCAAACGTGTGATTGAAGACCCTGAAGATGAAGATGGTAGGCTCATTATGTTGGATCCCTATAAAATGTTTTCTTCCGATTCCTTCGAGAAAGCAGAACTCAATCTTTTAAAGCAGCTCGATGTCAATCCACAGATAACAAAGTATAATTTGGAACTAACTTATGAAAACTTCAAGTCAGAGGAAGTTTTGAAAGCTGTGCTTCCTGAAGGCCAAGATGTGACGTCCGGGTTTAGCAGAATTGGACATATCGCCCACCTGAACCTTCGAGATCACCAACTGCCTTTCAAGCATTTAATTGGTAGGTGTGTCGTTAGTAATGTTCAAGTGCTGGGGAGCAATTCCAGCAAGATCTAGTTTTAGTTCTGAAAACATTTTTATAAATAGCGAATTACGGAAGTGGACATTTAACCATTCTAGCTTTAGGCTGGGTCTTGAGCTACATCTTGTACATGCCCTTTTGGGGTAGTTGTTATGCAGTCTGTTGTGGCTCCTAGCTACAACTGTGCTCCACAGGGGTTCAGCCGCTGGCTGGATTTTCTGACGTGGCTCTCCAGATCTCTCTTCCCAGGTGCTTCTGAGTGGACTCAAACCATCATTTGGGTAGCAGCCCAGCGCATCCAGGGTTTGCACCACCCTGGGACATCACTGCAGTCATAAAAAGAAAAGCACCACTGCCCTCAAGTCAGTCCCGACTTACACTGACCCTGTTGGACAGAGTTGAAGTAACTGCCCCATAGGCTTTTATATAAAGCTCTATGGAAAGCAGACTGCCACATCTTTGTCCTGCTGAGCAGCGGGTGGGTTTGAACCGTCATCAGGCTATCAGTTGGCAAGTGAGTGCGCTAGCCAGTGCACCACCAGGGCTCCTTCCAGAGCCGTGGCCCATGTGACTCTGCTGTCATGGAGTCCACCCCAACTGGCAGGGTCTCTCTGTGTGGTTTCTGAGGCTGTACATCTTGACAGGAGCTGACCTCACCTTTCTCCCTTGGATTAGTTAGTGGATTCGAGCCAAGGACCTTTTGTTGACCAGCCCAATGTTTACCCAGCAGCATTGCCAGGTCTCAGTCTGAGCTTTTGTTTAAAGTGATATATAAGTTAAATATCCATTTGATCCAATTAATCTACTGTATATATTAAACTTTAATCGCTTGCCTTGGCAGAACTATTGGGCAGCTGCAATGAACAGAGTACCTTGTTGGGGAACAAGACTCATTAGACTGTTGGGTGCTAGTTTCTTACTTTTGGGAGATCTATAGTCACAAGTCAATAATATTTATTGAGTCTCTTCTATATGTTAAGGACCGTACTTTGATTGTATTTTTACTGCTCCATACCCATGGGAACCCTGATGGTATTGTTGGGTAAACGTTGGACTGCTAACCACAAAGTCAGTGGTTCAAACCCAGCAGCTGCTCCTCGGGTGAAAGATGAGGCTATCTGCTCCAGGCAAGATTTAGTCTTGAACATGCTATATAGGGTCACTATGTGCCAGGACCAACTTGATGGTAATGGGTTAGTCTTTAAGAAATGATGCTTTTGTTCATATTTGTGTTGTACTGGATTTGAGCCTGGCTTCCTGATTCTTTCGGATAAAAAGGAAGGGAAGAATGAGTCAGAAGTCGCATTTGTCCTTATATAAATATTTGATATACGTGCAGTCTCCAGGTAATTCACTTATTTTTATTTTTAATGCATTTGTTAGGAATTCTGGGAATCATTTTTGACAGTACCCTGCGTCAGTAGGCTTTCAGGAGGGTACTATGGTCCATGGCCTCTGTCTCTCTTGATGAAGGGGCAGAAAGGCACAGTAGGAGCACAAGAAACACTTAGCCAAACCCAGATCCTTGTGATTGAGGCTGGGGGTAAGTGAGTCTGCTGCCTACTTTAACTCCACAGGCCCTGTGGCATTCCTACGTTATTACCTCTCTTTCATAGAGAGACAGGCATAGGGCAAGGAGCCCTCACGGTACCCTCGTTCCCATGCGACTCTTTAAAGGTAAAATAGGCTCATATTGTGGCAATTTTAAAACGTTTACTGTAGACTTTCAGAATAAGCTTTGTAAAAAATAATATCCCCATTACAAATTAACCTAACGCACCTTCAAAACTGAATTCTGATACTTGGCGCAAAGTAGGGTAAGAGCAATGATTGGTTTATTGATGATGATGTATTCAGAAGCAAGTGTCTAATTTTCAGAGAGAGAAGCTAGACAAACGTGGTGTTTTTGTATATATTGAGTACTGTTATTAACCGACAAATCAAGTTGTCCTTAGGCAATGGGAGAGCATGTACATTTGTAGAAATGTTGTAAGTGAAATGTTTTAAGACAAAAAATAAGCTTGGAATAAGAGTCATCAATACACTATTTTGGTATATGATCTGCTATGATTGTTGTAGCTTTTCTGTTCTGGCAAATGTTTTAGAAAAAGAACCAATTAAGTAAATAGACTTTTATTTCGCTATGACTAAAATAATCTGTGTTTTATTTGGAAAGTTGGTTTGGCTGACATATATTTCTAAAGTGGAAGCATTTGTTTCACGCACACAGTAAAGCAAACATTTGATTGGAAGCCAGTGGGAACAAGCCGGTGTTGTTGTGGGTGTTTTCTGAGACCATTTGTTGCCAGTATTCTTCCATCTCTTTCCATGCATTTCCAGTTCCTTCCTTTATGCCGTCTTGCTTACTTGTGCTGGAATACTGGAGGTTTAGTAGCAGCATGGAGGCTCACAGAGCGTTGTAATAATCTGCTGAATTTTGAGGCTTGCCTGCCACTCTCCACACAGGGAGGGAGCCTGTGGCATAGCAGGCCAGACTTCAGGCTGCTAACTGCAGGATGGGCTGTGTGAACCCACCAGCTGCTCCCAAGGGGGAAGCTGAAGATATTTCCTCCCATTAAGATTTCTAGCCTCAGAAACCCTGGCAAGCATTTCTACTCGGTCCCATAGGGTCACATGAGTCGGAGTCGACTTGGAGGACAGTGGGTTTGGTTTGGCTTTCTTACACACGGTGAGGAGTCACTGTCTTATGAGCCATTAGAAAATACACTTCCTTCAGTTTCACATTTGCAGTCTTATGAATTTTCATCTTTTCTTTTAGGCCAAGTTACGATAGACAAAAATCCAGGAATCACTTCCGCAGTAAATAAAATCAATAATATTGACAACACTTATCGAAATTTCCAAATGGAAGTGCTGTCTGGCGAGGAGAACATGATGACCAAGGTATGGGGTATCATCTTCTGCTGTGGGTTATCAAGATTCCCTAAGAGGCAGAAGACAGGCTATGAGAAGTATTTCTAGCACCCAGCGTTGATGCCTCTGAGCCTGTGAGCCCTGCAGGAATCATCAGACGAAAGGAGACACAGTGCGTGTACTAGGTCGCAGTCTTTTTTATTTTTAAATCCTTTTATCCGGGGCTCTTACAACTCTTATCACAATCCATCCATCCATTGTGTCAAGCACATTTGTATATATGTTGCCATCATCATTTCAAAACATTTTCTTTCTACTTGAGCCCTTGGTATCAGCTTCTCATTTTTTTCCCACCCTCTGTCCCTCATGAAACCCTGAAAATTTATAAAAAAATGTTTCATGTCTTACACTGTAGCTCGCAGTCTTAAATAGGCTGCAGCATCCTAGTTATAGGAATTTATACTGAGGATCTAATTGGATAAAATAGTAAAATGGTTTAGGTTCTTCACTATAGGTTTTACAATAAGATAAGCAAACATATAAAGCCACCTAAATGTTCATCAGTACAGAATTAGTTCAATTCTAGTGTAGCAATAATGTGGTCATTAATCATTAGAGGTTATAGGGAGAAGTGATCGCAGTCAACGCATAAACCACCACCACCCCCACGCTGGGGGACGAAAACAGAAATGTTATTTCAGGTATAGGGAGACAGCAATCGGTGTAAGAAATGAAATAATAACAATTTATAAGTTATTAAGAGTTCACAAGTGTAGGAGGGAGGAAGGGGAAAAAGAAGAGATGATACCAAGGGCTCAGATAGAAAATAAATGCTTAGAAAATGATGGCAACACATATGTACAAACAGGCTTGATACAATTGATGTATGGAGTTTTAAGAGCTGTAAGAGCCACCAATAAAATTATTTTTAAAAAGTCACCCACTGGTAAATTAAGTGACTTACAAAGGAAGATACAAAACAGGATGTATAGTGATTCCATTTTATTAAATATGTGGATCTGCAGATAGGAGGGGCCTCCCGGGAGTTCATGGGAAGATCCTGTTCACCTAATTCCATACCCTTTTGAAGTCCCCTCATATGGGGGTACGTGAAAAAGTATTGCTGCTAGGACTCCAGCTCATGCACACACAGGCTCATTCTGAACGAGATGTGTTGAAGCATGTCTCTGCGGGCAGTGCTTTGCTCTGTTCTCCCACTAATCCTAGCCGCAGTCTCTTGAGGGCCGTCAGAAAAAAACATCCAATCATAACAGTGACTTCTGAGGGGACCTGCTGAATGAGTTGGACTCCAGGTAGAGGTCAGCTCCGAAGATGATGGCAGCTGCTGTATTTTAGGATTCCCAAGGGGTAATCTTAGTATATTTGCTCAAAGCACATAGGACGATCCCAAGGGCGGCTTATTAGGAAGAAGTTTTAAGAAGACTGGAAACTGTGCGGTTGAGAAAAGGGCCAGGAGTTACGCTGAGGAATTGTTTTCCATCACGACAGTGCGCCTGCGCATTCTTCATGGGTGGCAAGGGCTGTGCTAGAACTTTGGGGAGAAATCTTACCCCCTCCACCCTTCAACCCTTTCTTGCCCCTTCAGACTTTTTGTTCCACAAACTTGAATATTGAAAAGGAGCCTGATTGGCGTCCCTTGAGGATGCCAATGCTCCTGTCTTGATGCGTATAAATCAGGTCAGAATCTTTCAGGGAAGGCTTAGAGATGGCAATGCCACCTTGAGACGTGTATAGACCCAGATGTACATATTGCTAGTTTTGTTTAATCTTTCACTATTTTTGTTTAATAAACATTTCCTTTGATTTGGTAGCTATGCTTTTAAAAAAAATAATTTTATTGGGAGCTCTTACAGATATAACAATCTATAATTCAATTAGATCAAGCATAATTGTACAATTACTGCCACCATCAGTTTCAAAACACTTTCTTTCTTCATAAATGCTTTGATATCAGTTCTCCTTTATCCCCTCCTTCCCCCATCCTATCCCCCAGGAACCTTTATTATTATGCTTTTTGACTTAGCTTCTGTTTACAACAGACTGTAAATAGTGGCTCTATTTCTACATGTGACCTTTATGTTCTTACTGAAGGAGCAAGATCAGGGCTGCTGGGCTGCTAACCTTGAGGCTAACGTTCAAACCCATCAGCTACTCTGTGCCGCTGGAGCAAGATGAAGGCTGTATGTTCCCGCACAGATTTACAGCCTCAGAAACCCCTACATCGCTGTGAGTCACAATCGACTCGATGCAACTGGGCCATGTTTGGTCTGGGTCCTGATTTCAGTGGACATAAAGTCCTATCTGTTAGTAGCTTCACGAATATTGTAGTTGATCCTCATTATCTCGGAATTCCATATTGGGTATTTACAGTGTTTCGTAATTAGATTTGCAGAACTGAAGAACTCCAGCCTTTTTTTTCTTCACCCATAAAATTAAGGGATTTAAAATAATGGCCAGTCTTACCCCACGACTAATTTGTTTTGTTTTCTATTATATCATAATCAGGAGCCCTGATGACACAGTAGTGCTCTACTGCTAACCAAATGGTCGCTGGTTCAAACCCACCAGCTGCTCTGAGAGAGACCGATGAGGCAGTTGGCTTCCTTAAAGATGTATAGCCATGGAAACCCTGTACTCTGCCATGTAGGGTTGCTGAGTTGGAATCGACTCATCAGTGGTGGGTTATATCATAATCCCAAAGAAGTGGTCGAAAGTCTTCACTTTCTTTCCAAGACTAGCTTCATTGTATATACTTGGTTTATCCATGAAAATCGGGAAAGGTAAAAAAATGGTAATGATTTAGCCATCCTATATAATGGCTCTAATTTATAAACAAAAAAAACTTGTAACATGTAATTAACTGTCTGAAAACAGCAAAATACTTCAATGTCATATAATAGTTTGCCACTCCTCTTACAAATGGAAAACTGAGATGAGGGGAAGCTGGTAGACTGTATATGTTCCAGCTACAACCCAGCTGTTCTCATGCAGATGTGTTTAATGTATATCTTCAAATTAAGGGGTTTCCCTTCTCCATCTAGTGACATGAGAGTATTAAGCCAATTAGTTGGCATATGTGGAAAAATTCATCATGATTTGGAAAATATTTGTTGGTCCTTTAAGATAAAAGAGAGAGCATTTGGCTCTGAAGAGCTAACTTTTCTCATTACTCTAGTGAAAGATATTTAGTGGCCTTTGGTAGAGCATAAATACCAGGATTCTAGTTAAAAGCCCTTAAATGCACTCTTGTTTACTCTATTAGTAGGAAAGGTGTGTGTGTGTGTGTGTGTGTGTGTGTGTGTGTGTGTGTGTACACACACCAAACCAGTTGTCTTGAGTTAATTCCAGGTCATGATACCGTGCATGGCACAGTAGAGCTGTGCTCCAAAAGGTTTCCAGTGGCTGATGTTTCAGAAGTAGACAAGAGGCACCTCGGTATAGACATGAACTTACAATCTTTGGGTCAGCAGCTGACTGGCACATTGTACAATCCAAGGGCTCCTGTATACAGACCCCCATATTTTTAAAAACCATTGATCGGTGCCTGGAATTTGAGAGTAAGCACTTTACTCACAAGTATAGTGCTCTTTTTCAGGTGCGAGAAAACAACTACAACTATGAGTTTGACTTCTCCAAAGTCTATTGGAACCCCCGTCTCTCTACAGAGCACAGCCGCATCACAGAACTTCTCAGGCCTGGGGATGTACTCTTTGATGTTTTTGCTGGCGTTGGGCCGTTTGTCATTCCAGCAGCAAAGAAAAATTGCACCGTATTTGCCAATGATCTCAATCCAGAATCCCATAAATGGCTAGTGCACAATTGTAAATTAAATAAAGTGGACCAAAAAGTAAAAGTCTACAACTTGGATGGGAAGGACTTCCTTCAAGGACCAGTGAGAGAAGAGTTAGTGCGGCAATTGGAACCGTTGTCGAAAGAAAGAAAACACTCCGTGCACGTGGTCATGAACTTGCCAGCTAAGGCTGTAGAATTTCTTGGTGCCTTCAAATCGCTTTTAGATGGGCCACTGTGCCGTAGTGAGCACCTTCCCATAGTGCACTGTTACAGCTTTTCCAAAGATGCTCGCCCTGCTGAGGACGTTCAGCAACAAGCTGGAGCTGTGTTAGGGGTTTCCTTGGAGACATGCAGCTCGGTTCACCTAGTAAGAAATGTGGCCCCTAATAAGGAAATGCTGTGCATCACCTTTCAGATTCCTGCTTCTGTCCTCTACAAGAACCAAGCCAGAAACCGAGGTAAGCCCTATCTGGGGAAGTAAATAGACTATAATAATTTGCATTATGCTTTCGGATATACCTCTTCACTGAAGTCATATGGGTGGGGTAATGGTTACACTTTGGGCTGCAGTTTGAAATAACCAGCCATGCCACAGGGAAAACACTAGGCTTTGTACTTCCATAAAGAGTGAGTCTCAGAAATCCTGAGGGGCAATTCTACCCTGTCCAGAGGGTTGCTGTGAGTCAGAATCCACTCTGATGGCAGTCAGTTTTAGTTAGACTCACTGCTTATCAACTCTGGTTACCCAGCATGTTTGTTTGCATTTATGACAATTAGTGAAAAATCTAACTATACTAACCAGAGATTTTGTGCATTAACCAAGTTTTGGGAGAAGAGTAATGCTGGCTGTAATGGTTAAGGTACATCTGGCAACTAGGCAGGGGCATGATTCTCAGACTAGACTGTTATATAATGATGTCATCAGTCTCCATTTTGGGATCGGAAGTGGTCATCCTCCATTTCACTTCCATCGAATCAGTGCTGACCCTTGTGGATTTTTGAGACTGTAACTATTTACAAGGGTAGAAAGCCCAGTCTCTCTCCTCAGAAGCTACTAAGTGGCTTTGAACTACTGACCATGTGGATCGCAGCCCAATGCATAACCACTACACCACCAGGGCTCTCCAGTCCACCTGTATGCCGATTATTTCATAAAGACTTGGTCTTGGTAACCTAACCATTTGAGTAAGTGAGGAGTGGGAGTCGTTTACATCCCTTAGTAAATTTGGAAAGCGGAAGGTTAACTAAATTTTGTTATCCAGATTCAGGAATCCCCTGCCAACTAGTCAATGATGAGCAGTTTCTCTGAATTTCATGAATTTTAGTATGTATGCTGTTCCATATAATAGTGGATGATTTTGTTAAAATATAAGTCCATATTAATAGTTTTCCTATTTAAGTTGGCTAGATTGCAAATCTCTGAAATGCCTGTTTTATGTACTCTAGTGTTTTCAAATGTTAAACACCTTACCTAAAATACGCTTTCTGACTTTGTCACAGAGAATCATGAAGAGCCACCTCTTAAACGGCAGAAGACAGAGAAAGCCTTTCCAGAAGAAAAAATACAAGTAGCATCAGACATTTAAATGGAATAGTTTCCCTCTTAAATACCTTTATATAGTAAACTACAATTTATGATTTTAAAAAATGTTAGCAATTACGTAACTATTGAACCATTATGTATTGAGTGTTTTTAGATCAAGGGGTAGGTGAACCATGCTGCACAGCTCAAATCAGACCCACCACCTATTTCTGTATAGCTCACAAGCTAAGAATGGGTCTGTTTTAATGGTTCAAAGAATCACAAGAATATTTTGTGACACATATGAATTATATGACATTCAAGTTTCAGAATCATAAGTAAAATTTCTATGCAAACATGACATGCTAATTTCTTAATTCATTGCCTGTCGCTGCTTTCTTGATGTTATTTGTTGCCATCAAGTGGGTTCTGCTGCATAATGAGCCTACGTGCAACAGAGGGAAAGCTGGTCTGGTCCTGTGCCATTTTCACAGCTATTGTGTTTGAGCTTAGTGTTGTGACCCCCGACGTCAGTCTATCTTGCTGAGAATCTTTCTCCCTTTTGCTGATTCCCTACTTTACCAAGCATGTCTCTCTTTAGGTACTAAGCTCTCCTGATAAATTGTCCAAAGTATGTGAAACGAGATCTTGCCATCCTTGCTTCTGAAGACCAATCTAGCTATACTTCTTCCAGGGCAGCTTTATTCTTCTGATAGTCCACAGTACTTTCAATTTTATTCACCAACACTGTAATTCATAAACATCAATTACTGTATATACTCGTGTATAGCCCAAGTTTTTCAGCACATTTTTAATGCAGTTTTTGTGGTAAAATCAGATGCCTCGGCTAATATTCGGGTTGGCGTATACTCGAGTATATACAGTACAGTCTCCATTTTTTTTAAACATTTTATTAGGGGCTCATACAACTGTTATCACAATCCATATACACATCAATTGTGTAAAGCGCATTTGTACATCATTCTCAAAAC